GTTTGAGGGGGAAAATTTTATTTAAGAAGATAGCAGATAGTAGTAAAAGATTTCTGTGCTCACGTAGATGTTGATGAGAGAGATGAGGACTCAGACCGTCATGCATTTACGGATGAATAGAAATTTGTTCACTGATGGCGTAATAGCCCAATTGTATTTTGAAAAATGGTGGCCAATATATATCACAAATCAGACCTTCAAATATTAATAGCATGGGGGAAAAATTCAAATTGACGGAAGAGTAAGGAAAACAAGCGACATCGGCTAAATCTTTTTTTTTTAAACTGAAAACTAGATAAACCGTTTTATTGAAACCTTGTGGAGTTATATTTTAATATTTTAAGTTGGCAGAATATACATTGTTTACTGTTTTTATTGAATAGTTCAATTGAAAAAAAAAAAGATTTAGCCGATGTCGCGAGTTTTTCTTTATTCTTCCCAATTTGCGGCGGTTTCATGTTTTTTTAGAAGGGAGCTGAACCCGAATTTGAAATTTGCAAAGAAAATTGCCTGAGTGTTGCCATGTAAAAAAAAAATCTGGTGTGTCCACTTCTTTCTTACCTATTTCAGAAAAGTATCTTTACATATGTCCATCAAGAAACACAAAAAAAGTTGAATTAAATTTATTTTCCTAAAAATTGATCAAAGCAAAGATTTGAGTACAATTTATTTGATAAACTAAAGAAATGTAAACCGGCTTGAGGCAGGTCAGTAATTTAATAACCTTTCAAAAGTTTTATTATAACTTTTACCATAGAATATATATTAAGCGAGTTACGCTCCAAAACATTTTTTTTTCTTAATAACTTTTTTCCTGAATTTTCTCGGGAATTTAGTCCTATTATTAAAACATTATTGGAAAGTTTAATCAAAATCTTTAGAGCCGTTTTCGCTCTACAGTCGATAGAAAAACATGTTTTTAATTTATTGCTTCTGGAGCACCCAATTTATGTCACAGGCATCAGTAGTCAAAACCCTACAAAATAAAAAAAAATAGCAACAAAATCGGTTCACTGGTTCTCGAGAAAATCTTGGCACAGGCAGACAGGCCAATGGCTAAAAATGGGTTTTTCGAACTCAGGGGACGTATGAAACGTATAGATCCGTCGAAAACCGCATTTTGGAAATTTGACCCGATCGCAATACTTTTCTTACCTAGTATAGGTAGTGAAGAAAAAAGGGCGGATAGCAATGTCGATGAAGGAGAATCATCCTCGGGTGAACTCAGACTTTAAATCCAAATTTGAAAAAAAATCGGTCCAGTAGTTTCGGAGAAAATACGCAGATGGCGGACAGACAAAAAAAAATTTATTCGTTTTTCGAATTCTACGTATTCGGACCGTTATGTTCGATTACAATGGTTCATTATTGAAAATAATAAACCAAAATAGTAAAATGTTCCTATTTTTCTAAGCTTTTGGCCGTAACTACGAATGTTATATGTTAAAACAACAACTTTTTTTTTACCTTATTTCTTGACACACACCTGTCAAAAATGGTGATAACAAAAAAATAATTTTTTCGAAGTTAAGAAAAAAAAAGACTTTTTTTTTGTTCTTTGCATATTACTTACAATTAGAACATTCAACAATTTATTTTTTTCCAACTTCAAATTCGGATTCTTAAAAAACACATGGATTCCCAAGGAAACCTACCTTTTTATTTATTTAAAACTCTGCCCTGCCAGTAGTTTTAAATAATAATAAAATCAGTGCCACACAACACTAGGTAGCAATTCAGGCTTTCCTTAAAAAAAATAATAAACTGGGAAACCCTCAGTCAAGGAAGGTGAATTCAGTCAAGAGATACACAATATAACCTTATTAAAATTTTAAGTGACGATTTTCTGGAAAACCATCAAATTTTATCTCTTCATTTTGAAATATCATATATCTTTCAACTAATCCCACAGATTTGAGAGTTCAGATGAGAACTGTTTAGAATTTAAAATGGTTTCTAGTCATAAGATGTGTTCAAGGCATTGTCTCCTTGCCTTGAATGCATTCGCTGATAAATTTTTTGGGAGTTTTAAATAGAGGGTGGAGGGAGAAACAATAAAATAATGAATACTACACAATTAAAAAACAATAAGTAGAAATATATTTAACAATGATTTATAAATATATATTGTTACACACCATCAAATAATCCCTTAAAAATGTAAAAAAAAAAAGGAAAAATGAAAATTTAAAAAATCAAGAAACTACAGATAACAATGGAATAAATATTTTTAAAAATATAACATAATTAAAGCATTACAAAGGGCGTAGATATTAACATTGACATTCTAAAAACTACAGCTAATGTTAAAAGGTTATGTTAATTTATGACTTACATAAAAAAGAATAGCATATAAAACGAAGTAACAGACAACTTTTAACTTTAAATTTAATTCAGCTAATTTCTACAACCTTAGACAACAAAATACATTGAATCTACTAGAACAAGTACAAGATAAATTGACTGCTTGGTGACCTACAATCTCAATTTTACCAAGTCCATTCAAGTAAGTACTCTAACAATAGTTATTTTACAATAATGTGTCTCCATATTACTCAATGATCAATAATTTCATATGAAAAATCAACTTTATATTCTACTCATTGTAGTGTGATTGAACAACAGACCTCACAATATAATCAGTTTCAGCATTTGAACTTAGTTGCTATAAGGGTTTAATACAATTTGCCATACAAGTCTTTCTCTCTAGGAAATCTTTTGTTTTTTTTTTGTTTTATTAAGTCCGAAGTGTAGAAAAATAGTGAAATAGTTATTTTATTCATTTCACACAAATGATTGAAAACACTATAAATATAAGCTAAACAGAATCACTTTGTTTCTAAGATGATTAATTTATCAAAATAGCAAACATCTTGGGCACTTATAGCAGTATTCTATTTTCTATTAATATTGTTTCTTTTCTCATATTTTTATGATGAACACTACTGGACAGCTTATAATTGACAAGTTATTTTTCAATTCAAAACATTAATAGCATCAATGGTAAAAAATTTATTTTATAAAAATCATGCAGAAAATTTATAAAAATACATTACAAATTAAACACATTTTTCTTATAATTGAAAAAAATAAAAATTGCACTTATGCAAAAGCCATTTTTGTGTACAGATACAAATAAGCACTGAAGATAAAAATGATTAAACATAGATTTCTTTTCACTATAACTTCAACATCATAAATTCAAAGACATAGAGAAGTAAGTAATTGCCAAGAAAGCTGAGGCTCGATTGTAAAAATATTTTATTCTTAAAAACAAACAATTGTTAAATTACATTTACTTTACAAAATCCATGAAACTATAATTAAAAATCCTATTTCAGGAAACTTTACACGATACTCAGCAATATAACTCTAAATAAAATGTCATGGTACAATAAATCATGGATGGATTTCTCTATTTCCATGCGGCTGTAGAATGGGACTGAATTTCAGAGGCAATTAACAATACTAATATTCAATTTATTTAATATTGCTCCTTAAATTGAAATTTCAAAATCCTTACAAAAAAAAAATTATTTAAAACACTTAATTAATATATTCATCGATAATTGATCGTATTGAGGTATAAAGTTTTGTCTGTAAATCTAGTAACAATTTTAATGGAGGATAAAACTAAAGACTATTACACTTAATAATTTAAAACATAGATGGATAATTAAAATTTCGATTTAATTACAAAATACATTCATAAAAAAAGTAAGAAATTTGTTCAATTTAATCACAGAAAGGATCTTAATTACAACTAAACAAACAAATGAGTATAAAAATCATGGCATTTAAGAAGCATCTTTGCAATATGATCTTGATATTCACATCACATAATACATAATCAAAATATCATTCGTTTAAAATATTCGATCATGCTGCAACTCACATATTTCATAATAGACATCATGACTATTCATAATTGATTACAAAATCACTTCATTAATATTAAATCTTAATTTTTTTTTAAAGAGATCAAAATAAATAATAATCATTATTTATACTCAATGTTTTTATATTACTAAAGATCAAATTTTAAGTATTGAATAAAATAGAAGTTGTGAATGTCCAAATTTTCCAATAAATAATAAAGCTGAAACTTTTAAATTTAAATATAACTTTATTTATCAGATAATATTGTTTGAAAAATAACTTTTTACAAGTTATCTTCAGCAAACTTAATTTTGAGACAAAAGATAACATATCTAAACCTCACAAGTAAATTATTATACCTGAAAAGTGGATGATATTAAAGTAGGGCTTAAGGGAAAGTTGCCCAATATGGATCTTCAATTATCCTATGCCATATTTATAGCTTATGTAAATGATTAAGTAAAACTGCACTCTTTAATGATTCAGTAGCTCAAGAAGGAATTAGAGAAGCAGAGCATGATCGTTTCGGCTAATGGATATTGCTACCGACACCATTTCAACAGCCAAATCGGAAAAACCTCAATGAAAAAATTTTAATAGACTAAGTCAAAATACTTTAAAGGAAAAAAAAAAAAATTAAAATTGAAGTTTTATTGAAAAAAATTGTATTAAAAGAAAAATATAAGTCTTGATATTTAATGTACTATCATATAATTGAACTTTGAATTCTAAATATAAAAATTAAATTACTTGAACCATGCAGAAAGCTACAGTAATTTACCATTTCATAGATTTATTATATAAATAAAAAAAAATCATTCTTTTTTTTATTATATAAAACTATCTCACTTTCCATTTTTTAAAATTCTTAAGAGCCAATAATTTATATCATCTCATCAACAACTATAAGTTTATAATTTTTGACATTAGTTTATTCAATATAGGCAACTTTCCCATAGTAAATATTGGTCAGAAATGAAACCTTAAAATATATTAAAATTTGTTCATTGAAAGTTACATTCTGAGGGACAGATAGTTATATTCATAACATTTAAAGATAGATACACAGTATGAAGTAACATTTATAAAGGACTGGAGGTAATTTTTTTTTTTTTTTTTTACACAAAACCATGTTCTGTTGATATAGAAAAGATAAATTGGACTATGATAACACAAAAATTATACATAAATGTGCTTAACATTTAGTTGGAAACTATTGGGCATTCTGGAATTTTAAATAAGAAAATAAATGCTAGGTTATGTCTCCTCAGAGAAGAAGACTTCAAAAATCAAAGCTCAAATTCCTAAAACATGATTATAAGAATCAACTAGATATATGCTGCTAAAATAGTATCTATGCAACACAGTTAAGGCTTATGTCTATTTTTAAAAACCTTCTAAATAAAAACAATTAAAATGCAATATTCTACAAAAATGACTCATTCATCTTTTACTCAATGATCAGACATGAGTAGAAAGGTCTTCCCCGAGGTCGTCGAGCAGATCTATCTCATTAGCTATTTGTTCATCAAAACCATCTTCACCCTCTTTCGGAGCACTAAACCAAAGGAGATATTTAATAGTACTTATTCACTTTACAGAAAAATTAAAAGAACCATAAAATCAAATACCGAAACTTATAATTTTTATTCTGACCACAGCTTACTAAATTAACAAAAGAAGATAAAACATCAAGCAATTTAAAATATATGAAATAGCTCACATTGCCAATCTCATCTCAGCAAATATCTGAAACCAATAAACAGTACATAATAATGTTTTTTTTCTATTGGAGTACTATCCAGAGATAGATTCCTGACCGGTATTTATTTTGATATGTCAATCCAATGTATAATAATAACCAAGCATGAAAAATTAACTATACAGAGAGAGAGAGAGAGAGAGTAATAGTATTTCAATGGAGGAAGAAAAAAAATTAATACCAAGCTTCCAGCTAGAGAAGAGAGAAGCTTCCATTTTTTTAAATTTCTATTCAGTTAACAGAAAAGAAATAGAAACTAGTTAAGCAATTCTTCAGAACACAATCCATTAAATTTGTAGATTAAACCATTTAATTTTTTTAATTGTTGAGATTATTTAAATTAAAAATATATATAATACCAACTTGTGATACAAAACTCTAAATTTTGTAGAAGGATTTAACTTTGTAAAAAAGAATTAAATTTGCAAAAGATTTACAAGTATTGTTGAAGATACGTTTTATTTTATTATAGTATATTTTATATTAAAAAGAAAGCAAAACTATTAAAATTGATTTATTTAATATTCTGATAAAATTACCAAAAAATGAGGTATGGCTATAAATTAACAGACAGAATTAACTAAACAGCAAGTAAAGCCATAAACACCTAGTCATTTAATTATTTAGGGTTTCTAAATCAGTAATTGATATTTAAATTTATATATTTAAAGATAAAGAGATTTCAGTCAAAGCCTTAAGAACTCAGATCTATTAGGCAAGGGGAAGGGTGTTAAACGGATACGTTCCTTGATCTCTCCCTCCCATCCTCCAGGGGAATCAATCAAGTAGGAGGATCAAAGAAGGTATGTAAATAAAGAGGATAAACTATAATTACCAACTTATTATTAATTACATGATGTAATTATTGAAAATTGAGTACTAAAGTAATTGATCAATAATTAATTAATCAAGTAAAATTGATTAATAATGCAACTCCTAATTTATATTCAATATTCCATAACCATGTAAGAATTTTTAGATTTTCTTTTGCTTATTAACAGTTAATTGACCAGTGCCATTTTATTTTATATTATATTTTTTTTTCTGTATATTATTTACTTTATTTCTATAAAGCCAGGCTAATGTACATATTTCTTTAATCTTGTTATTATTCTCAGAGGACTTTAGTCCCAGAATAAAAATATTTTTCATTTCAAAGTAATAAGGGAAGATATATATTGCCGCCGATATATTAATTTTAATTCTCAATATATTACACATACAACTTACACTGGTTTATCTGTGACCACTGCTTCCTTTTCAGGTGGTGGGTCATCCTCTAATCCAAGATAAGTGGGTTCTGGGAACAGGAAAAAAAAAAAAAATCAATATTCATAATTGAACAAAATAAATCGTCGGTTTATTGCAAAAAGACATAAAGCGACATTTCATAACATTAAATAATTCAGAGCTTAGAAGAATTTTTCCTTTATGAAATTATAAAATTGTGTGCTCGTTATAAATATATTATATTTATAAAAGGGTTTGTGTCATTTTTGTAATCTTAGTGTTTTTATATTGTTAAGTAAAATTGAAATTCACAAAAACATATTTCAAATTTAACCAACATAAAAAATCCATGTAGTGACTTTTTGCAATATACCAACGAACCATCAACTCACAATCACAATATTATTATTATTACAAATAACATGTTATGTGCAGAAAAATAATAAAATAAAACTTACCAGGATTGCTCTGAGTAAGAGCAATGGAATGGGCAATAGATGAAGTAGGAATAATAAGCGGATGCTTCCTTTCATGGCGTGGTTTCCCAGCTAACAACGTCCGAGTCCTGGCTAAGTCTCTAGGCGGTAAAGGTATAGCATTTCCTTTATCTGCAACATTCATTGATTTATTGATAATAAATAATTTCTAATAAAAAAGCTCTGTGAACCAGAAGGTTCAATACTGACAATACTCTACTACAACCTCATTCTCAGGACTAAATAATTTTAAATCATTAAAGTATTACCAGGAACATGCTCTTCTTCATTTTCACTGTATGATGGAGCATCAGGAAGAGATAATTTTCTTTCATTTAGGCATCCGACAGACCTAAAAATAAAAATTTATTATTTGTATACTATCTTGTTTAGAATGATTTTATAAGTAAACTTAATTAAAAATTCAAAATAAATAAATAAGAAAAAAATTCAAAATAAATAAAACATTAAAACTATAAGTAAGCAGTCAATATTTTGCAAATTAAAGCATTTGGACAAAAAAAAACAAACAGATAAGTTCCAATCAATATGATTCCTGATGATGCCTGAAATAGCAAAATATAGACTGCTGAGTCATTAATCATCGTCTACTATTTACTATTTACAAGAATATTAATGGCATAAATGCTATCTGACAACACAGCATGCCTTACTGTCCATTTAGCAAAAAATATTCCATAAATAAATCATTTTTGATTTATTAGTTATTGTTCCACCATCACTTGCCTGTCATTACTACCAGGTGAAATATTCACTTTAACCTCAATAACAAATTATGTTTCATACTCTGTGAAATATATTTGATAATCATCAAATCATCACAGAAGTTAATCTGACTTACATTAAGAGAGAGTGTAAGTTGAGTAAAAATAAATGGGAAGCTGGGCCAACCCAGGGGAAACCTATCAATCAAAGGAGTTAGAGAGGGTGACTTCCTTTCGAAACTGCTGTTTAATATTGCCCTTCAAGTTATGGTGAAAAAAACCAAGGTTAATCAGTCAGGTACAAGATAAGGTGACGCAAGTGCTTGGTTATGTTGATCAAGTGGCTCTTGTTGGGATGTCCATAAAGGCTATAAAAGAGGCCTGCGAAAGGTTAGAAAGAGAAGAAGAAAGAAGGGGCCTATCTATAAATGAAGGGAAAATGAAAATGATGGAGCTTAGGAAGATAACACACATGAATCACCAAAGCATTATGTAGTTAGAAAGTATACGTTTCAGTATGTGTCCAGTTTGAAGTAACTTCGCTCCATAGCAAATGATGAGACAGAAAAACAGACAGATGAAGTTAAAGAATTTTAAAATCGGATTAAGGTGCTAACAAAGCATATTTGGTCCTAAGAAGTTTCCTCTGTAGTAAACTGCCAAGTCGGTGTACCAAAATGACTCTATATAAAACCCGTATTGACCTCTGCCTGTGAAACCTGGACCCTACGCAAGGCCTTGGCTGAAAGTATTGACAGATTTGATAGAAAAGTGTTGAGGCTCATCATGAAGCCTATCAGGGAAAAGGATTTGTACAGCTTGAGAATGCACAAAGAGACTTCCGAGCTTTTCATTTCGTATGAATTCAGAACTTCAAATGACTGACATGTAATAAGGATGGATGATGATAGAGTAGCCAGACAAGTTTATTATGGAACCCTGCATGGAACGATTTGCGGCGAGAAGTGAATGGTTTAATGAGGAGTGTCAGATGGCATTGAGGGAGAGGAATGAAGCAATAATGAAGATGCTGCAAGGCAGACCAAGGAAGTCTATAACACAAAAAGAAGGGCTGCCAAGACTATTAGGAAGAAGAAAAGAATGATGGAACGGATCAAAAAAGGAGATAGAACGAAATGCGAAAATTATAGAGGTATATCTCTCCTGAGGGTAGTATATAAGGCATTTTCCTCGTTCCTAAATAAAAAGTTACAAGTATGGTCTGAACGTATTCTTGGTAAGTATCAATGCGGTTTCAGGCCAAATAGATCTACGATTGACCTAATATTTTCCATCAAATAGATGTTGGAAAAATGCAATGAATATAATGTAGATCTTCATCATCTTTTCATTGATTTTAAACAGGCTTATGATAGTATCAATAGAAGCGAGTTATTGAAAGCAATGGTCACTTTAGGTGTACTGAAAAAGTTACTGAAACAAGGATGACACTGACTGATAGTAGTTGCAAAGTTAAGATACAAGGAGCACTATCAGAAAAGTTAGCAGTTGAGGACGGCCTAAGGCAGGGAGACCCATTGTCCCCAATTCTTTTAAACCTAGCCTTAGAATATGTTGTACGTGCTATTCAGACAAGCCCTCATGGCACGATATATAATAGATTGTCACAGCATCTAGCCTATGCAGATGAGGTGGTAATATCGGCTAGATCAAGAGCATCTTTATTGGGAGCATTTGAGGAGTTCGAAAACGTTGCAAAAAAGTTAGGCCTCCGTGTAAATGAAGAAAAGACTGTATATATGAAGTCAGCAAGACAGCCACCAGAAAGAATGGAAGAAAGGATTAAATTTGGAAGCCATACCTTCAGGATAGCAAACCAGTTTAAATATTTGGGTGCTCTTGTCACATCAAAGAATGAACACCAAGAAGAAATTAAGGCAAGAGTAGCTGCTGGAAATAGGTGCTATTACGCTCTTCAAACAACCCTTAAAATTCAGAGGCCTGACCAACAGAGCTAAGGTCATATTATATAAAACAGTCATTAGGCCTGTTGTATCCAATGGCTGTGAGACTTGGGTACTTTCCAAAGAAAGTGAAAGAATGTTAAAAGTTTGGGAAAGGAAAGTACTCAGAAGAATATATGGACCTGTCTGCGAGAACGGCAACTGGAGAATAAGAAAGAATGAGGAACTGAAAGAAATGGTCCAAGAACCAGATCTGGTTTCTTTTGTCAGAAAGAATCAGTTGAGATGGCTGGGACATGTAGAGCGGATGCCGACAAATAGGATACCAAAAAAATTACTAGATGGTAAGCCTGGAGGACGTCCACGATTACGATGGTCAGATGGAATGGAGAGAGTGTTGAGAGAGATGGGAATCAGAGGATGGAGGAGACTCGCCCAGGATAGGGAAGAATGGAGCAGGATTGTAGAGGAGGCCCAGACCCTTGTAGGGCTGTAGGGCCATGGAGTAAGTAAGTAAGGATGGAATCAGACAGCACGGAAGACCGATCCATCCTCAAGGATGGTCGGATAGCCCAGCAGACCTGATATTGACTGCAATGACTGGGAAATGGCAGTTGATAGAGCCAAGAGCAGCTTTAGAGGCCTGTCAAGCTAATAAGTAAATTTGACAATCAATATCATTAACGTTCTAAGAGTAAATTGTAGATCACATTACCACAATTACACTTATACATCCATATAGTCAAATGTTATAACATTTAATCAAACCACCGATGGCTACTTCTAAAACCTAGATCAGAAAACAAAATTTACGCAAGGAAATAAAGAACTATATTTCTATTACGGAAATATAAATATTTTTATTACTTTTTCTTGTGGTATATCGAAAAATCATTGACATTGTTAAAAACCTGACACATTATAAGTATTAAAGGAAGTGAATGAGCACTAGTTATTTACAAGACATTAATATTTTGGCGAATTATATTTACAAAGTTTCAGAAGTAATCAGATATCCCCAATCTAAAAGAAAAATATTGCCAGCTCAGATGATAGATATTAAAAAAAAAAAAAATTATTTAAACAGACTGCACATTAGTGAAAAAGTAGTTCACTTTTCATCAGTGCACTTAACAAAAAGCAAACTTCTCACAATAACTAAAACTTCAAATTACTAATTGATAAACATATCTTCAATAACAATCTAAATCATAATTTCAGTAAAAAAAACAGAATGTTTAATTTTTAAACTGAACTCAGCATATTCTACTCACCGCATGTCGGGTAGGTTGTCAAATTTCTAGCAATGCTTTAGTTTTTTTTTTTATTTCATTATTAAAACTTCTCCTTCCTCTGTTTGGACTAATAACAATAAAATATAATTCAAACAATAATTTATCAAAGTAACCAGAGCACTTAATGTGTTAAATTTAAAGGGAAATCTCAAATGTTTCAAAAACAATATGGAAAATATATACAAAAATACTAAACTAGGTTTAAGAAATAAGTCAAAGGAAATATTGTGAATTAATAGAAACTGTTAATACAGATTTGGGTATAATCAATGCCTATCCAAACTTTTCCCCTACAGAAAGTTATAGAATAGAAAAACACATTATAGTTCAAAAATGAGAATTTGGCTTAACAAATCAACAGTAATTGATAAAGGTAGGTTACTACTAAACACATAATTATTACTAGAACGTACAAGGAAGAATTTTAAAAAATCCTGAAACACTGCAACCTATCGAGGACCTTGGGTTAGTAACTTAGTCAGAAAGTACTTATACATAATATGGACTAAATTGTATCAAATCCTGCAAACTGTTAATGATTGCTTGCTTCTATGGTATTTCCATTGTACATGTTCCTATCTACAACACAGTTTAAAATAAAAAACCTATTATTTTTTTCATTTGCATAAAATAAGAGACAAATTGGGCCTGTAATGGTGAGTAAGGAACAACGTTGAGTTTTTCTCAACATTCCATTGGACTCTTGACAGCATAACAAAGAAGTTATTTTAGAGGAGATAAGATGGTTTAAGACTGGTGTCTCAGAAAAACAGAAAAATCTTTAAGAGAACCTGTAGGGGGGAGAGGGGCATCAGACCAAAAGGTTTTATACACACAGATATATATGGAGTTTTAGTGAATCTTGAACACCAATTAAATGTAATTTCACGAACAATAATACTTTTAGAGATAATGTTTTGATATTTTTTTTTAATAAGACATGGTTGTGTTTTACAATTTTGGATGAGGGGAGGGCTTCAGCTGGAAAGTCCCTCTCCCCTCACCATAGATCCGCCTGTGAAGAAAACTATATCCGAGGGTCGTTTCGTGACGTATGTATTGCGGGTCGGAAGTAAGTATTCTAAATAATTGCCAATCTAACTTACAGCAAGACTAATCACCAACGAAATATATCATCAACTAAATCAATATGATCGAAACTACAATAAGAAAAACTGCATAGTAACACCAACTGGACAGTAATACCTCGAATTACTTAAGAGTTAAAAGCATCACTTAATATATATAAAAAAGGAATGACAATTAGCTATTAAGTTACAAGTAAATATACATTTACAGATTCTTGGATTCCTTAATTTAATATTGCAATAAAATGAAACTTCCGGAAAGATAATGGAAATAAAAACCTATTAGGTAGTCAGACTTCAACCTGAAAAACTAGGTTTT